AAAAAATCAAGGAAAATGACCCATTTTTCTTTAAACCCAAAGACCCAATTCCTAAATCCAATGTCAACCTCAAGCCCAAGCAAAAACTTAGGCAAAAGGAAATAAAACCCAACCAAGTCTTGCAAAATTTTTTTTTTAAAAAAGAAAAACCTAAAGGAATAAGGCATGTTGCCCATTTAAAAAAAAAAGTCTGGAGCATTTCACGCGTGCATGCTGGCCACACATGTATTTCTTCTCATTACCGATACGAGACATGTAATAGAAACCTCATGGCCATTTTCTCTTTTTTTTTTCTTTTCTTTTCTTTTATTTCCTTCTTTCTTTTTCCCTAAGCCTGACTCGTACAAGGACAACTCCCATCTTGTCCAATACCACCGAACAAAATCTATCAAAGGATAAGGAAGGAATGCATCATCCCAATTCATTCTAACCATCACTTTTAGGGTTTTAGGGTTTTATTTCTTAATATAGGACCATATAAATATGTTAATAAGGAGCTTTTAGGGCTTAGGTAGGATACTTGTTTGATATCAGTTGTAAGAGACAGATTCAGTGAGAGAAAAGAGAAAAGAAGAAAAATTTCCAGAAACTAGAAAAAATAGGGCTGCCAAATCAGCCCTGTTCGAACCCATTTTTCTCACTTGTTTTAGCTCATTTTTTATTGATTCTTCTTTTCTTTTCATACTCTATAGAAATAATAGAAAAACTCTTCTATTGAAAGTTTTTGGAGAAAACCACTCAAATTCGCACATTTTTCAATTCTTAAAACCCAAAGCATTTCACTCCAATAGGGAGGAATATTGTAAATCTTGAATCCCGACATCCATCATGGTTTTTTCCAACTTGAAATCTTCAGAGAGTTGTAGGTAACCTTACTTGATAATTTTCTTTTGTTTTATATCATTTTTGACTAGTTTCTTAGAACTTTTTATCCATTTCTTGGTTGATAATGGTGATTTCTTTTTCTGGCATGTTTTGGTCTAAGATTTGTCATGTTTATTTCTCTTTTAGACCCATGAAGGACATTAAGTATGAACTTTTATGAAATTTTGCTGTATTTTTTGTGAAAAGTTGGATGTTGAAGTGTGGGTTTTTCTTAAATTTTCTCCCTCTTTTGTGCAAAATATGATGTTTCCAAGTCTATTTTGATGTTACAAACACATTTAGAATGATGAGAGGAATTAGTAGATGTAAATAGTTGAACTAGAAAATCACCGAAAAATTTGTTGATGAAGTTTTAGGCCATTTGGCTGGAAATTTTGCAAAATCCAACGAACTCCAGCTTTTGTTACATTTCTCCTTTTTTTTCCTTTTTTTTTACTTTCCTTTTCATGACTGATATAGATGACTTTATTTGTACTAGTTATCTTAGTTTTGGGTCATATAGCATGGGCTAATTGAGTTTGTTAATGGAATTTACTTGAGTTTTGGTCTAAGTTGAAGTTGGGCTTGTATCCTTTTAAGCCCGGATTAGTTTTCTATCTTAATGTAGACTAGTCTAAGCTTGTTTCTACTTGTTCTTTTATTAGATTTGTTTGGGCTAAATTGTGTTAGTAGCTTGGGTTTATTTATGTTTGCATCTGGGCCAAATTTTTAGAGCCCATATGGCTAGCCTTGTTGATATAAGAAATTGGTTTAAGAAAATATGACATAAATCTTTTGGTCATGTTTATTTCTCTTTAGACCCATGAAGGACATCAAGTATGAACTTTTATGAATTTTTACTATGTTTTTTGTAAAAAGTAGGATGTTGAAGTGTGGGTTTTTCTTAAATTTTCTATCTCTTTTGTGCAAAATATGATGTTTCCAAGTCTATTTTGATGTTACAAACAAGTTTAGAATGATGAGAGGAATTAGCAGATGTAAATAGTTGAACTAGAAAATCACCGAAAAATTTGTTGATGAAGTTTTTGGCCATTTGGCTGGAAATTTTGCAAATTCCAATGGACTCCAGTTTTTGTTATATTTCTCCTTTTTTTTCTTTTTCTTTTTCTTTTTACTTTCCTTTTCATGACTAATATAGATGAATTTATTTGTACTAGTTATCTTAGTTTTGTGTCATATAGCATGGGCTAATTGAGTTTGTTACTGGAATTTACTTGAGTTTTGGTCTAAGTTGAAGTTGGGCATGTATCCTTTTAAGCCCGGATTAGTTTTCTATCTTAATGTAGACTAGTCTAAGCTTGTTTCTACTTGTTCTTTTATTAGATTTGTTTGGGCTAAATTGTGTTAGTAGTTTGGGTTTATTTATGTTTGCATCTGGGCCAAATTTTTAGAGCCCATATGGCTAGCCTCGTTGATATAAGAAATTGGATCAAGAAATTATGACATAAATATTTTGTTTTAGCCTTTCTTCACTTGCTTAGTCTAAACATTTTCTTTGTATTTTAGGCATTTTTTGTTTCATTTTCTAAAAAAAATTTATGTTGTTATGGCATTAATTACTTGCTAATTTTTCATATAACTTCCACAAGAAATATTTATGATTTGACCTCTAACATTTGCATAATTAAGCTAAGGAGACAACATTTGTGAAAATGGATAAAATTTCTCTTTTTTTTGGACTCTTGGTCTTTCTTTATGATTTTTACGTATGTTTTGGTGAATTAATTCTGACTTTCAAAGCATACTTAGGGTTTAAGTAAATTTATCAAATTTAGGATTTTTATTTGACAACATTAATTGCTCAGTCATACAAGGGGAACTTCAAGAGGATCCCACAGTGGACGCTTGAATTTCGAGTGCCATTTCTTTTTGCTACTTGGTGAGTGTCAAGTGTGTGCTACTTGAATTCCTGTGAACTCGATACATGTTTACTTGTTATTGATACTTGAGATTTTTAAACTTGAGACGAGCATGTACTTTATCGCACTCGTTCTCACTTGAAATGAATAACTCGTACTTGAATACTTACATATCTCGATTGCTTGAATATATCGCATGCTTGAATGACTTGATATGGTATGCTATGGTTGCATACATCGTTGGAGTGTATCTCCTCCACACTCAAAAATACATGGGGGACGCCCAAACCTCATTAGTCATCATCGGACTCGAGCCGGCATGGGTTTGGTCGGGCTCCTTGGTAAACCATGGAGAAAACATGAAAGCTTGATCTAGTGAGAGATCTTGCTTGACATACTCGAGTAGTATGGCCTTAAACAAATGACAGGCGGGCCCGATACAGGGGTATGTAAGGAGAAATGGGACGGGTTAAGTAGAGTTCTACGGACTAAACCTACCCGATTGACGGAGTGTCAATTCGTGGAGGTTATTGCTTGTGCAAGTGGAATATAGCTCCTGAGAGCTCCTGTATCCTTGAATTGTTTCTGTTTACTTTTCCATGTGAATTGTTAAATATTGAAATATTATTACTCGATTTGTAAAATTTGATTAATACTTGATCAATGTGCTTGCATGTGCGTTCTTGGTCTCACGAGCGTTTGCTCACCCTGTAGATTTGTTTTTTTTAACAGGATTGGGTTTGGAATGAGACTCGGAGAAAACTTAATTTTGTAATTTTGTGTACTCTTGTAATAGGCTTCCGACTTTATTGACTAGACTTGATGGCTATTGAATATTTTGGGTTGTATTATGAAAACCCGATGTAAGGATTGGATAATTGTTATATATTGTTAAGTTTGAACGCTTCCGCACTAATTGTATTTATTTTATCTGGTTGTTGACGTCTAGTTCCGTGATAAGCTTGAACAGAAATTGGTTGAATCCTGGCGAGAGCTAGGCAGGCGCCCCGCGGATACTCTTTGGTTCGCCTTAGGGAGAAATGGAGGCGTCACAGTGGGTATCAGAGCGCTAGGTTAGAGATCTATATGGGAGACATATTAGATACTCTACCCACCTGAGACCGAAAAACTAAATTATATCTTAAGTGGTACTTGGGGCAAACTAGTGACTAGGTTAGGCATGTATAAGTGACATCCGAGCGAGTTAGTGATTACGTTCCTAACCCGAAAAGTATGATTATTTTGCAAGAATGGATAATGGAAATGGGACTCCGGCAGCTAACGGGAATGGCCATACTAATGGTCACGTAGAGCCTCCTAGACCTATTTACTACCGATCCCTTGGTGGAGGGGGTCGAGTGTGCTACTCACCCTCTAGTAGCTACCCTCGATGTTCGTGTAGGTTGACTTTTGCCTACCCGAACCACGTTGTACTGGTCTTGGACGACGAGCGTTGTCAGTTGGTGAATGCCAACTTGGACTTACAGGCAGAGGTAGATGAGCTGAGGCAAATGGTTAGCGCTTAGGGGGGCAGATTGTGGAGCTTGAGGAGGTTATAGAGGGCGAGGTGGCCACATCCGCAGTTGTTCGTGAGGAGCTCCAGAGTACTAGGATTCGACTCACTAGGTTGAGAGAGAAGGTCCGTGGTCGGGCTTCCGACATCTTGACTGATGCTACTAGATTGGTGGAGGAGGGGATGGATGTAGTCCAAAGTCCTGATCCGGAAGAGAAGGATCCTGAGGAGGATCCTAAGGACGAGATTCCTCCTGGTAGTCCTACTGAGGACTAGGTCTTTAGTGATTGATCTTTTGACCCTTTTGACTGGTACAGTTAGGATTAGGTGGGGTGATACTAAGTGCTGAGACCATTGTGTTTTACATGACTGTGTGGCCTACTTTTGAGACACTTATTTTTACTTTAGTCTTCTGTGACTAAAAGTACTCTCATGACACCTGTGTGCTATTTGTGATTTTCCCCATGACTTACTAATTGTATGAACTTGACATGCTAATGAATGTAAATTATTATTATTTCCAATGTTTTCTTGATTGGTTCCTGCTTTCTATTTTGCATCGCATAATTGATTTATTTCTGCACTAGGCACGCCTAGGTTATGGAGGACTATGAAGTGGTCGAAACCGTGAGCGAAGGACTAGACAGGCCCAATCTCAAGGGGATGACCAGGGATCGGCAACTGAACCGACCCAGGGATAGAAAAATATTGAGGGTAATCAAGTGGTTACTGCCATTAATAGGATGACTGATATCCTAGAGCGTTTAGCTGATAGACAAGGTCCTGAACAGTTTAACCAACTTGGGAGACAAGATAGAGGAGAAGATAGAGCCTTAGAGAGGTTTTTAAAGTTTAACCCGCCTAACTTTCTTGGTGAACCCGATCCTGAAATAGCGGAGAATTGGTTAGAGAGGATGTCCAATATATTCGCTGCTCTAGACTATACTGAGAATAGGCGAATGAATTTTGCTACTTTCCAATTCGAGGGACTGGCTCGTGCTTGGTGGGACATGATAAAAGGAAAATGGAAGAGAACTCAAACCCCTTGGACTTGAAAGAATTTCATGAGAGAATTTAATGAAAAATTCCTTTCACCCCTGATTCAAGAAAAAAGAGAGGATGGGTTTATCATGTTGAAACAGGGAACCCTTAGTGTAGCGGAATATGAAGGAAAATTCACTAAACTTTCTAAGTATGCCCCTGAGTTGGTGATTAATGAACGGAGGAGGATAAGACGATTTGTACAGGGGTTGAATGTGAAAATTCAGGAGGGTCTGGCTGCTGCCCAGATCTCTACATTTACTGAGGCTCTAGAGAAGGCATAAAGGGTTGAAAGTGCAAGATTACAAGTGAGAGACTTTCACAATAGAAAAAGGAATTTTTCTAACCATACTTCTGGGCAGACCAGTAAGAAGGCACAAGCTTCTAAAATAGGAAGAGGAATGGGAGGAATAAGGACCGCTGTTGTTTCGAGAGGAGCTCTATCTAGAGGAGGTCGTAATGGGCCGACCCAAGCTAGGGGAGCACCATCTACTGGTTCGGCGGTGACCCCTCAAGTTACTTGTGGGTACTGTGAAAAACTCAATCACTCTGAGAATGACTGTTGGAGAAAGTCAGGGAAGTGTTTATTTTGTGGTAGTGCCGAACATCAGGTCGCGAATTGTCCGAAAGCACCAAAAGTGGGAGGTAACACTCAGAGACCAGAAAAGTCAACTTCTAAGCAGACCAGTACCAGATGAAGTCGACCGAAAGTACCGGTTAGGGTTTATGCACTAGAACATCAACAGATACCTGAAGCGATGGAGGTGGTTGAAGGTACGATCCCTAACCGTTTAGCTAGGATTTTAATTGATTCGAATGCAACACATTCTTTTGTAAACTCTAATTTCATGAGTGGAATAGACGTGAAACCAATTAAGTTACTGTATGACTTGGAGGTTAAAACACCTATTGGAAACTAAAGTCTGATTGCTAACTTGATGTATAGAGATTATGAAGTCTGGATTGGAGAACGAAAATTACTGGCTGATTTGATAGGTTTAGCGATTAAGGGATATGATGTAATCTTAGGAATGGATTGGTTAGCCCGATACATTGCCCATATGAACTGTAAGACAAAGATTGTAGAATTGAGCATTCCAGGATAGGCAACCCTGAAATTGAACGTATGGGGTAAATTAGTTTCGTCTGCACTTATCTCAGGGATCCGAACTAGAAAAATGTTAAGTAAAGGAATTCGGGGATATTTGGCTTTTCTTATCAATACCCCTAGTGATAAGGTGAATTTGGAAAACATGTCTGTAGTGAAAGATTTTTCAGATGTTTTTCCTGAAGAGTTAGAGTTTTTACCCCCGGAACGGGACATAACCTTTAAGATTGATGTGACTCCGGAAGTGGCATCTATCTCTAAGACGCCATATCGAATGGTTCCAACTGAATTGAAGGAATTAAAATTACAACTGCAAGACTTGTTAGAACGGGATTTTATACGGAAAAATGATTCTCCGTGGGGAACCCCGATTTTGTTTGTTAAGAAGAAGGATGGGAGTTTGAGACTGTGCATAGATTACTGAGGTTTGAATGATGTGACAATTAAGAATAAGTACCCACTGCCCCACATTGATGAATTGTTTGATCAATTGCAAGGAGCAGTAGTATTCTCGAAATTGGATTTGAAACAGGGTTACTACCAATTGAGGATTGTGGAGACGGATATACCCAAGACTACTTTTAATTTGAGATACGGGCATTTTAAATTTGCCGTGATACCGTTTAAGTTGACAAATGCACCTACTACTTTCATGGATTTAATACATAGGATTTTTAAGCCTTATCTAGATCAATTTGTAGTAGTTTTCATTGATGACATTTTAGTGTATTCTAAGAATGTGAAAGATCACGAGAAGCACTTGAGAATTATTCTGCAAACTTTAAGGGAGCACCAGTTGTATGCTAAGTTTAGCAAGTGCGAGTTTTGATTGAAAGAATTGACTTTCTTGGGACATATAATTTCTAAGGATATGATTAAAGTGGATCCAGTTAAAGTTAAAGCCGTTTCGAAATGAAAATGACCGAAAAATTCTACTGAGATTCGGAGTTTTATTGGATTAGCAGGGTATTACCGGAGATTTATCCAAAATTTTTTTAGAATTGCTGGACTCATGACTGAGTTGACCAAGAAAAGTGAAAAATTTATTTGGAGTCCTAAGTGCGAAGAGAGCTTTCAAGAATTGAAAACACGCTTGACTAGAGCCCAGTATTAGCTCTACCCAATGGAAAGAATAGTTTTTTGGTTTACACCGACGCCTCTAAGGAAGGATTGGGATGTGTTTTGATGCAGAATGTTAAGGTGATAGCGTATGCCTCTAGAAAATTGAAACAACATGAACGAAATTATCCGACTCATGACTTGGAGTTAGCGGCTGTAGTGTTTGCCTTAAAGAAATGGAAACATTATCTGTATGAAGTGATATTTGAGATTTTTACTGACCACAAAAGCCTTAAGTACCTATTTTCACAGAAAGGGCTGAATTTGAGACAACGTAGGTGGATGAAATTTTTGGAAGACTATGATTATACAATTAAGTGCCATCCAAGAAAGACCAACGTAGTGGCCAATGCTTTGAATCGTCAAGTGCAAATGGCTGGACTGATGATCAAAGAATTTCATTTGTTGTAAGAAGTTAGTTACTAGAATCCTCAACTGGAATGGAGGAAAGTAATTTTGGGAAATATTGTAGTGAATTTCACTCTGACGAAACGTATCAAGGAATCCTAGGAAAAGGATGTCGAAGTACAAAATGGTTGGAAAATGTCAAAAAAGGGAGACAAGTTGGATTTTAACTTGGAAGTAAATGGTATTCTAAAGTTTCGGAATCGGGTAGTGGTGCCAAACGATGAGAAACTTAAGAAGGAGATTTTAGAAGAGGCATACCGATCAAAGTTTACGGTACACCCTGGAGGGAATAAGATGTACCAAAATTTGAAGAGTCTCTATTGGTGGGAGAATATGAAGAAGGAAATTACCCAATTTGTCCAGACCTGTTTGATTTGTCAACAGGTTAAAGCCGAACATCAGAAACCATTGAGACTTTTACAACCTTTGAAATACCTGAATGGAAATGGGAGAATATCATCATGGATTTTGTATCAGGTTTACCGAGAACACAAAGAGGTCATGATGTTATTTGGGTAATAGTTGATAGATTGACCAAATCGGCTCACTTTCTGCCGATTAATATGAAATACCCATTAGCGAAGTTAGCTAAGATGTACATGGATGAGATCATCAGATTACATAGAATTCCCATGAGTATTGTGTCTGATAGAGACCCAAGATTTGTTTCGAGATTCTGGCAAAAGATGCAAGAAGTGTTGGGGACAAAACTGAACTTTAGTACTACTTATCATCCTTAGACCGACGGATAATCTGAGAGGACAATTCAGACTCTTGAGGACATGTTGAAGACCTGTGTTCTAGATTTTAGAGAAAGTTGGAGTAAATATTTAACCTTGGTGGAATTTGCTTATAACAATAGTTTCCATTCTTCTATACAAATAGCTCCGTATGAAGCCCTTTATGGTCAGAAATGTAGGTCTCCGATTTATTAGGATGAAATAGGCGAATGGAAGATCTTAGACCCGACTACAGCATCTTGGATTGAGGAAACTAATGAGAAGGTAAAGTTGGTATGCCAGAGGATTCAAACCGCCCAGAGCCATCAAAAGAGCTACGCAGATAAACCGGATGAAGGATTTGGAATTTGCAGTTGGCGATCTAATGTTCCTTAAGATCACATCTTTGAAAGCAAGTTTGATGTCTGGAAAGGGAAAGAAACTACAATCAAGGTTTGTAGGACCCTATAAGGTTATCCAGCGCGTGAAACAAGTAGCGTACAAGTTGGAATTGCCACCGAATTTACCTCGAATCCATAATGTATTTCATGTGTCCATACTTAAAAAGTATCATCCAAACCCCTCTCACATTTTTCAACCGGAGAGTCTTGAAATTGATGAATTCTTGACCTATGAGGAGAAACCAATGAAACTTCTAGATAGAAAGGTGAAAGAATTGATAAATAAACAGATACCACTAGTGAAAGTTCTCTGGAAGAACCATGACCTAGAAGAAGCGACTTGGGAGGTTGATGAAGCAATTCGAGAAAAGTATCCAAACCTGTTCACCAATCAAGGTAAAATTTCGAGAACGAAATTTTCTTAAGGGGGAGAGGATATGATGACCCTCAAAAAAATTTATTATTTTAATTTCCATTTCGAGGTTATTTAATTATTTACATGACTATTTATTCCGAATAATATTTTCTAGTCTCTCAAAACCCAATTACATGGATCTAAGGTTTAATTATATTTTTTTAGTAACTTGTCTTAAAATTTAATTTTGAAAGTTCGTTAAGTGAGAATAGTGAATACGCGATTGGGGATTTTATCTGATTTGGAAATACCATAAGTTTGGGAAAATTAGAGACTTACACATATGCCTTAAAATAAGTATTTTAATGTTTAAGTACTCAAGTGATAGTTATTAGTACTATCGTTATAAGAATTTCTTGGAAGTTTCACTTTATCGCGCTTAAATTGGAAATACGCGTTTTACACGCGCGATTTAATTGACAGACTTTAGACCCTTATTTTGGGACAATTAAGAGTGAATAACATTTATATAAATATAAGTGTATTGGAGGTTTAATGCACTAGTGAAATAAACTCGAGAGGAATTGAGCATAAAACGCGTGCGAACACGCACTATTGAAGAGTTGACTTTTGGACAATTGTAGACCACACATTAAAGCTTCTCTTGGAAGCTACTTTTGGACAAACACTCTCTCTCTTCTCTCTCTCATTGGCCGGCCATCAAGAGCAAGAAAACAACACCAAGTTCTTCAACTTTCTTCTCCAATTCTCCACCAAATCCTCACCCATTTCACTTCAGATTTCAACCACGCTTAACTCAATACTTGGAGAGTTCATCTAGCTAAGGAAAGTAGTTGCAATCCGCGGGTTTTCTTGAGTCAAAGAGAGCTGAAATTTCTGCCTTGCACAACTAGGAGAGTAAGTGACGATCAACCCTTTGAATCTTGTTTTACGGAAGTAGTAGAGATCATTTAAACTCATGCATGCATATGGGTAGCTTGTTTATGTTGAAAAATTATTGTGTGAACTCTATGAACTCCTACTTTGGTTGGATGGACTGACTTGGTGATTGGTGATGAAATTAATGTTGGTTTAGTGCGTATTATACTAGAAATGAGTGATACTATGAGTAGAAACTCAAATGAGGTGCAATGGGAAAAAATGGCCGTTTTACCCCTGCCATGTTCGTGCACTTTAGAGCAAAATTTTGAGGTTCTAATGGCTTGTTTATGTTGTTTACATGTTATATTGAGTGTGTAAAAGTTTCATTGAAAAATAAATTGATTTGGTCACTCAAATGTTGGATTTACGAAAACTTAGAAATCTGGAAACTATTCCCGTATTCACCCAGACAGTATTTTTGTTTCGGCTATATCCTTTTACTCCAATGTCAAATTTGAGTGCTGTTTGTGGCACTGGAAACTAGACATTCCCAGCTTTCCAACAGTATAAAATTCACATTCTGGTTCCATCTGAGTGAGCCAAACCATTCGTTTGAAATTTGCTATCCCGTTTCGTTACTTCCTAGAAGGCAGCACATGAACTGTAAATTGATGCTCATGAACGAGCTAGTTATGGTCAGGTTTTG